GGCCGCAGCAAGTTGTCCTGAGGCAAATTGGATGGTGGTGAGTTGTCTCACAGGAAGTAATTCGGAGGCAAATTGGCCGCAGCAAGTTGTCCTGAGGCAAATTGGCTGCAGTGAGTTGTCTCACAGGAAGTAATTCGGAGGCAAATTGGCCGCAGCAAGTTGTCCTGAGGCAAATTGGCTGCAGTGAGTTGTCTCACAGTGAGATTTCCCTTAGCGAATTGGTCTGAGGTAAATTGGTTGCAGCAAGTTGTCTCACAGCAAGTTGGCCCAAAGCAGGTTGGCCCACAGTGAATTGGTTGCAGCAAGTTGCTCTAAGGCGAATTGGCTCCAATGAGTTGTTCAAAAGGAAATTGGCTGCAAGTTGTCCTGCAGCCAGTTTCCCGCAGTAAGTGTCCCTCAGCGAGTTGTCCCCCAGCAAGTTGGCTGCAGCAAATTACCTGTGGCAAGTTGCCTATGGCCAGATGGGCGTGGTGAGCTACCCATGTCCAGTTGGGCATTGTGAATTATCATAGCCCCATGCTGTAAGAGAGAGGATCATGGAAATGCCAGTTATCTTCCCTCTGAGGCGCCCCAATGTCCTGCCCACTCACCCTGACTGCGGTAGTTGAGCACGGCTACCGTGAGGTGCAGCTCTCCCGCGTGGGCGTCAGGCGCGGAGCTGACAGAGTACTGGCGGGCCTGCAGCAGGGGCAGCTGGGTGAGCAGCAGCGAGGTGGGCAGCGCCACTGAGGGGAACTCCTCCAACAGCTCCACAACCGTCGGGCACCGGAACCACTTCCATTCCTCATAGAGAAGAGAGTCCTGCAGGCAGAAGAATCGGCACTCAGGACGGTGACAGATCGTGAAATCGGGGAAAGCGAAGCACAGCTGAGCCCGGGATGGGCACCAAACAGCTCTTGGAGGGGTCAAGAAGGAGGGGGCTTCATTCATACAAAATACAGGTAGTCCTCGACTTAAAGCAGTTCACTTAGCGACCGTTCAAAGTTCCAACTAGTGAAAAAGTGACTTATGACTGTTTTCAGTCAGCTGGAACTTATAATGGTTCCAGCACCCAGTGATCTAAATTAGGACACTTGACAGCTGACTCCTATTACAAGAATGAAGACAACTGAGTCCTATTTACGACGGTCACGGTGTCCCAGGGGTGACGCAATCCCATTTTGCGACCTTCTGATGAGTAAATCGGAGAAGCCCGATTCATTTAATGACTGTGTGACTAACTTAACAACTGCGGCGAACCTCAATGGGGTCAAAGTCTCTCACAACCGTCTCGCTTAAAATGGAAATGTTGGGCTCAATTGTGGTCGTAAGTCGAGGACTACGTGCAATTAAATGAAGTTTGAATTAAGCTTTGTGTAATATGCTGGCCTTACCACCTAATCCATCAGGCTGAGCCCTTGCAGCATCTGAGGCACGAGAGAAAGTTAAGATGAGCACAAGGTCTTTTGTGAAGGCAGCTTGAAGGCCTGAGTAAGCCTTTGAAAGGAGATGCCAAAGAATGCGGAAACTACCACACCATTGCACTCATTTCACACGCTAGTAAAGTTATGCTCAAAATCCTACAGGCAAGGCTCTAGCAGAATGTGCATCGAGAACTACCAGAAGTACAGGCAGGCTTTCGAAGAGGCAGAGGAAGGAGGTATCAAATTGCCAGCAAACACTGGATCATGGGGAAAGCTAGGGAGTTCCAGAAAAACATCTACTTCATTGACTATGCTAAAAGTCGCTTGCTCCTGGGGAGGAAAGTGATGGCAAACCTAGACAGCATCCTAAAAAGCAGAGACATCCCCCTGCCAACAAGAGGGCGTCTAGTCAAGGCTGTGGTTTTCCCAGTTGCCATGGATGGCTGTGAAGGTTGGACCATTAGGAAGGCTGACCGCCAAAGAATGGAGGCCTTTGAACTCTG